CTGCCGCCTAGTTCATCGGGCCCACCAACTCCTTCCGCTGTCGTACTATCCGCCGCGCGCCCCGTGGTGCGCGGCATTGCATTTTCTTCCCGCCACGCGCTCCGAACACGTGGCGGCTTCTTCTGCCCGCCGCGCGCTCGGGGCGCGCGGCGGTTATCCCGTCCGTCGAAGCGTCCTTGGGGGGGCCTGCGCGCTGCCCTCCCTGCTGCTCGTCGCGACGCCCGTGCGGGACCCGCGGGGCGTCGCCCTTACTCGTCGCGGCGCCCCCTGGGTGCTGCCCCTTCTCGTCGCGACGCCCGTACGGGACCCGCGCAGCGTCGCCCTGCTCGTCGCGACGCCCGTGCGGGACCCGCGGGGCGTCGCCCCTGCTCGTCGCGACGCCCGTGCGGGACCCGCGGGGCGTCGCCCCTGCTCGTCGCGACGCCCCCTGCGGGACCCGCGGGGCGCCGTCAGAGCCTGCAGCAGCAGCCGCCGCCAGAGCCTGCAGCAGCAGCCGCCGCTCTACCAGCAGCAGCAGCCGCCGCCGCTCTGCAGTTGCAGCCGCCGCCAGAGCCTGCAGCAGCAGCCGCCGCCAGAGCCTGCAGCAGCAGCCGCCGCTCTACCAGCAGCAGCAGCCGCCGCCGCTCTGCAGTTGCAGCCGCCGCCAGAGCCTGCAGCAGCAGCCGCCGCCAGAGCCTACAGCAGCAGCCGCCGCTCTACCTGCAGCAGTTGCCGCTGCCGAGCCTGCAGCAGCAGCCCCTGGAGCAGCCAGTCACTGCAGCAACCGCCCCTGGAGCAGCCCGCCACTGCAGCAGCCGCCCCTGGAGCAGCCCGCCACTGCAGCAGCCGCCCCTGGAGCCGCCCGCCACTGCAGCAGCAGCCCCTGGAGCAGCCCGCCACTGCAGCAGCCGCCCCTGGAGCAGCCCGCCACTGCAGCAGCCGCCCCTGGAGCCGCCCGCCACTGCAGCAGCCGCCCCTGGAGCAGCCCGCCACTGCAGCAGCCGCCCCTGGAGTTTGCCCGCCTTTGTTCGTACGTCCCCTTGCTACTCGTGTCCGTTCGTGTCTCGTGTTGTGTCCCGTGCCGAGCCATACCGTGCAGTGCCATGCCGTGCCGTACCGTGTCGTGCCGTGCTGTGCTGTGCCGTGCCTGTGTTCGTTTTACCTACCTACCTACCTACCTACGCCCTGTGCCTTGTGCCTTGTGCCTTGTGCTTCGTGCCTCGTGCCTCGTGCCTTGTGCCTCGTGCGCCCTGCTGCTGCCCGCGCCCTCGTGCGCCCTGCTGCAGCCCGCGCCTTCGTGCGCTCTACCTACCTACGCCCTGTGCCTTGTGCCTTGTGCCTTGTGCTTCGTGCCTCGTGCCTTGTGCCTCGTGCCTTGTGCGCTTTACCTACCTACGCCCTGTGCCTTGTGCCTTGTGCCTTGTGCTTCGTGCCTCGTGCCTTGTGCCTCGTGCCTTGTGCGCTTTACCTACCTACGCCCTGTGCCTTGTGCCTTGTGCCTTGTGCTTCGTGCCCCGTGCCTCGTGCCTCGTGCGCTCTACCTACCTACGCCCTGTGCCTTGTGCCTTGTGCCTTGTGCTTCGTGCCTCGTGCCTCGTGCCTTGTGCCTCGTGCGCCCTGCTGCTGCCCGCGCCCTCGTGCGCCCTGCTGCAGCCCGCGCCCTCGTGCTCTCTACTCTGCCCGAGCTCTCGTGCGCCCTGTTCGGTTCCGCCGCCCCTGCCCCCCCCCCCCCCCCCCCCTGCGTCCCCTGGACAGGAGAGTGTGGGGGTGACGGGTATGGGGGTGCTCCGTGTGCGTCGTCCCTTCCTCCTCCTTCGTCTCCCACAGCTGCAGCTGCCGCTGAGGGGGGTGGATGTGTGGGAGCCGAGGGGAATGGCGCTAGGGGGGTAATGTGGGAGTGGAGCTAAGGGTGGACCAAGGGGTGTGTGTCGAAGGGTGTGGGACTGTTGGGGGCGGTTGAGCGGAGGCCGCCGTCGTGTCGTCTGCAGCGCCTGTATTCCGGGGGTTCTGATAGCCACCGGTAGCTCAGAGAGCCGGTTGCACCTGTCGCCTGTGGGTCCGTTGCTCCTGCCGCTGCTGATCAGCCGCCGAGCCTGTTACTCCTGTATTCCGGGGCCTCTGGCTCCCGGTAGCCACTAGAGTTGCACTAGTGCCGTCTGTTGCCCGTGTGTCTGCAGCTTCAGCCGTCGCCTCCACTCTTCTCTCCTCTCGCCAGCCCTCCTCCTCCTCACCTACCCTCTGTGACTGCCTCTAGCTTTGCTCATAAATTATAAACTATTGCTTCTTGAACTTGTGCTCAGAATGTGTGGTGACATCGTGATCCACCCTGAGCTTGTACTGCTTTGCTTGCTCTGCTGATTACACCCCACTTTGGCTATGGGGGTGTGTCAGAATGTTATTTGTCTAGCCTGCAGTGGGGTGCTCAATAGTGAGTACAACCCCTTAGGGTTTGCTATTTGTGTGTCCTGCTGCTTGCTAGTCATCATCATTCTTCATTCCAATTCTCCTTCGTAAACCCTAACTCCTAGTTCTAGAGCGCACCCACCTACCTCCTAGTGTGGGCCTAGGCTACTAAGCCTAGGCCCCACATCTACTATTCTAACACTTTGCTGAACTGCCAGCATCCATGCGTCCAGATACAATGAACCATTCGCCAGCGGAAACAGGAGGAGAGGAAGCAGCAGCTGTCAGAGGTCCACTGGTGATCCCCGATTGATCCTAGGGAAGGGTTACAGGCACGTCGGCCTGGGGGGTTATGGGCGCACTCACCCGCTACACAAACAAGCCCTTTTATCCCAGTGGTTAGTGGCTGGGATTCTGACATGGTATCAGAGCGAAGGTCTCGGGTTCGAATCCCGGTGTGTGCACCTCGAGCATCCCAGTGCGGGGGGGTGTCAGAGGTCCACTGGTGATCCCCGAATGATCCTAGGGAAGGGTTACAGGCACGTCGGCCTGGGGGGTTATGGGCGCACTCACCCGCTACACAAACAAGCCCTTTTATCCCAGTGGTTAGTGGCTGGGATTCTGACAGCAGCAGGAGAGGCAGTCGCAGCAACAACAGAAACAGGAGAGGCAGCACCAATGGCAGCGCTGTTGACTCTATCCCAGGACGACCAGGGCCTGGCTGCCGGCCAGTTTGCTGCCTTCTATGATGGCGACATGTGCCTTGGGTTGGGCGTCATCATTGGTGTGCCGCCCGGGGAGGACAGTGCGGGCGGCATGAGTGGCAACAGCAGTAGCAGCACAACACAGGAGCGAGGTTCTGATACACAGCAGAGACAAGAGAAGAGAAAAGGACCAGTATCAGCTGCAGCGTGGGAGACGGCAAGGAAAGGGCTGGCAGGGGTGAAGATTGGGAAGCTGAAACCGCCCAAGACTGTCGAAAAAGGGAGTGGGAGGTTGGAGAGTGAGGGAGTGAGGGAGGAGAGGGCAGAGAAAGGGAGAGGGGAGGGGGGAAATGAGGTGGGGAGTGGTGAAAAGAGGAAGAGGCGGAGGGAGAGAGCAAGTCGAGGGAGGCCTGAGGTGCAGGTAGGGGAACAGGTGGTTCAAGTGCGGGCAAGTGGTGGTGATTGCCAACCTTAGGAAATGGTATCAGAACGACGTTAGCTGGATATAAAATAAGTGATCAGGAGTTTCTGTTTGGTGTTTCGTATTGGTCATACGATTTTTAGTTTTCTGTCTGGATTATAGCATGAGAAAAAGTGTATTCGTCGTATTCAATTGCGTCGGTTTCAGCTCAAAAGCACAAGATTATTTGCTAGTATCAAACTCCGTGGGTTTCTGTGCTAACGGAGTGTGTGAGTTTCACACGTGATATTGGAGACCTCATATCGCATATATCCTGACTTCCGACAAAGTCGTCTTTCTTGGGCGTGTCGGAACGCACATAACCGCGTCGCGTCTGTCAAACTTTATCGTTTGTCAGATTGACAGATCCTTCCATTCTTGTCTCAAAACACGCACAAGGTTTTTAGGTAATTATGTCCTAGCTCCCTTCCTGACTCCCGAAGTAAGGTGCTGAGTTATAAGCACACACTCTCAAGCCGTTATGCGCTTTCCGCGTTCCCATGTCGATTGAGCCGCGTATTAACTGCGAGCCTGTTTGAGATGCTTAAAGAACCGCGAATCGATTTAGTCGTATTATCATAACTCATACTCGCACTTGGTTCTAATCCTCCTAATAGCTCAAGAGACGACGAATAGTCTTACGTGAGAAACGTGAGATTCTGAGCACCGTCGCTTGTTTTCACACCGAGCGCACTCTGGAGTCTTTTCATGCTGCACACCCTTGGTTTTCAGGTGTATATATTCAGTTCTGGGGTCCTGAAAACTCGTTAGCATTGTCCTACTAGCGGATGTATATAATGATTCCATATGCTGCCCAACCTTCGCTGTCAGAAACTGTATTTTCCAGAGTTAAGACTCTAGGGGCCTTCAGTTGTCGTGAAACTTGCCAGTGAATGAGAGAGATATTGTAGCGAGTATATGATCGAGCCGCGTTGAAACGGTAAAGGGAAGGCTTGAACCAGCGGAGTGCGTTGTCACCCCAATAAGCAGCCATGGGGTGCTGCATATCGCGTACAAACGGTGCAGGACATCATCCCGAAGCTGCGACAATTAACGGAGCAGCTAATAACGGAGCCGCGGTCCCGTTTCAACAGCAGGGCAACACGCGGCAGCAGTCCTTAGTAACTCCTTCCCAGAAACTAGTAGGCGCAGTAATAGCAGCACGACCATCGGAACCATCAGCAGTGTCTGCACCTGCACCCGTGGCAGCACCAGCAGCAGCAGCAACAGCAGCAGGCGCAACACCAGCAGCAGCACCAGCGGCAGCACCAGCGGCAGCGCCAGCGGCAGCACCAGCGGCAGCACCAGCGACAGCACCAGCGGCAGCACCAGTGACAGCAGCGTCTAGCATCCCCAACACCCCCATCGCTGTTTCCTCTTCAGACCCTCCCCCTCTCCCCTTCCCTCTCCCGATGGTAGTTCTAGACGATCCAGTGGAGGAGGCTATAGCGCGTATGAAGGCTGACGACGCCACTCCAGACCCTGCCGCGCTGCTGCTGCAGCGGCCAGAGCTAGGGGATGTGGCACCTGGAATGGGGGGATTACTGGGTTTACCCTCTTTTAGGGTTCGCGGGGAGGATTGGGAGGGTGGTTTGGGGTCGGAAGGGAGGAGAGGAGAGGGGAGTGGGGTAGAGAGGAGAGCGGAGGGTGATTCTTTCGGAGGTGGTTATAACGAAGATGGGAATGTGATTGATTTGGAAGGGGTGTTGGATGGAGGAGGAGGAGGAGGAGGAGGAGGAGGAAGGGGAGGGGGATGAAGGGGGGATTGATATGGGTGATTTACTAGCGGGGTTGGGGGAGGGGGATGATGGGGAGGAAGGGGGGGAAAAGGAGGGGGGTGATGGGGAGGAGGTAGAAGGAGAGGAGGAGGAAGGGGAGGAAATGGGAGAGGGAGGGGGGCGAGTGGGAGAGGGAGGGGGGCGAGTGGGAGAGGGAGGGGGGCGAGTGGGAGAGGGAGGGGGGCGAGTGGGAGGAACTGAGTTGGCGTTGGGGGAGGAGGAGGGGGAGTGGGGTAAGGCGTTGGGAGACGAACTGGTGGAAAGAGAAACGGAAAAAGGGAGGCTAGAGGCACCAGGGGAGGAGGATAGAGAGAGAAACGGTGCTGAGCGATGTAAAGCGGCGGAGGGACGTGGGGCAGGAGACGTAGGAGGAAGGGGACTAGTAGGAGAAGGAGCAGGAGCGAGTGATTTTGAGGGAGGAACGTACTCAGTGCAGCAGCAGAGGGATGTGCGTTCAGAAAGGGAGAAGATTCGGTCAGAAGAGATTCAGTCCGTTACTTTGGATAGCGATGCTCGAGGTGCTGTAACGGGTACTTTGGCGTGTGAAAGTAGGGAGAGTGACACAAGGGAGAGTGACCAAGGGGAGAGAGGGGATAATGCTGACGCCTTGGAGGGGGTAACCGGTCACTCGGAGCGTCCGTTTCAGCAGCTTAACGAATCGGAGAGGCGCCACTATAACGAGGATGATGTGGATATGGAGGCATTAGAGGAGCTGCTGCAGCTGTGTGCTGATGATGGCGATGGTGGTGGTGGTGGTGGTGGTGGCGATGATTATGATGGTGGTCGTGGTGATGATATTAGTTATAGTCACAGGGATGGACTCTCTTCTCATGCGCCTCAAACGGGCGTTTCAGCCGATCGTCAAAACGAGCCACTGGTATCGGCACAGCAGAGACAGGCCATGGCAGAGCGACGTACAGATGCATCTCGTGCTGGCAACCCCTCCTCTGCTCGTGCTGGCAACCCCTCCTCTGCTCCTGTGAGCGATCCTTCCTTCGCTCCTGAGAGCGATCCCATACAAGCAGCCTCGATAGCAGCAGAGCGGTCGCTGGCAGCAGTGGCGGGGATAGCAGCGGAGTGTTTGGAGCGGGAGCTGAGTCGTTTCGAGGTGAACTGCCCGCCCGGTGGGGAGGAACTTGTGGTGGTTTATGTGACTTCCCTTGAAGCCGTCAGGAAGACCCACGCTGACTGCGTGAAGATGCGGGCACTCCTCAAGGTAAGAGGGTTGCAGTGGCGGGGGGATAGCAGCGGAGTGCTTGCAGCGGGAGCTGAGTTGGTTTGTGGTGATCTGCCCGCCTGGAGGGGAGCAGCTGGTGGTGGTTTAAATGACGTCGCTAGAGGCGGTTAGGAAGACTCATGCTGACTGTGTGAAGATGAGAGCACTCCTCAAGGTGAGTGGTGACTTGCATATGCGTGTGTGGAAGGACTTGCATATGGTGTGTGGGGGGGGGGGGGGGGGGGGGGGGGGGGGAGGCGACTGGGAGTGAGGAGCTGGTGATGCTGTATGTGACACATGTAGCTGTAGGCCGTCAGGAAGACTCATGCTGACTGCGTGAATATGCGAGCACATGTTGGGAAGAGAGAGGTAGGGCGTGAGGAGCTGCCAGGGAAGGGAGGAGCTGTGAGGGAGCTGCTAGGTAATTTTTTAGCACGGCTGTGTATCAAACGCGCTGCTCTTTCCCTTTTTTTTTTTTTTTTTTTTTTTTTTTGCAGCCGGTAGGAACCATACATCCCCCACCTCCCCACCTCCTTCTCCCTCATCCCACCAATCAGAGTCGCCAACCATTCTGGCATCTCAAACATCAATTCCCCTCCCCACCTCACCCCACTTCCCCCTTCCCCCACCAATCAGAGCCTCCAGTTGTGCTTCCAAGGGCGTGACGTGGCATTTCTTCTGATTGATATACATGCCCCCCACCCCCCCCCCCCCCCCCCCCCCCCCCTTCCAAACTTCCCCTATTACCCCACCCTTTTCTCATTCGCTTCCATTCAATCAGAGCCTCCATCTGTACTTCCAGGAGTGTAACGTGGCGCTGCATCCAGCCTATCAGGACGAGCTGCTGCTGCTATTCCATTTCCTCGCAACCTCCCCCCATATATCACCCCATCTCCCCTTTCCCCACCCTGCCTTTCCCCCTCCCTTTTCCCCAACGATTTTCCCACTTTTCCCCCAACGTGCTTCCCACCAATCAGAGCCTCCATCTGCGATTTCAAGAGTGTGACGGAGCACTGCATCCAGCCTATCAGGACGAGCTGCTGCTGCTAGTGGATATGCATGCAACTCCCTCCCTACCCTACCTCACCCCCTCTCCCTTTTCCGCCACCCTTTCTCGCACCCTTCCCCCATTCGCCTCGCAACCAATCAGAGCCTCCATCTGCGCATTCAGGAGTGTGACGTGGCGCTACATCCAGCCTATCAGGACGAGCTGCTGCTGCTATTGATTCACTTGCACCCTTACCCTCCCACCCCCTGCTTCCCCCACCCTTCTTCACTCGCTTCCAACCAATCAGAGCCTTCACCTGCGATTCCAGGAGTGTGACGTGGCGCTACATCCAGCCTATCAGGACGAGCTGCTGCTGCTATTGATTCACTTGCACCCTTACCCTCCCACCCCCTGCTTCCCCCACCCTTCTTCACTCGCTTCCAACCAATCAGAGCCTTCACCTGCGATTCCAGGAGTGTGACGTGGCGCTACATCCAGCCTATCAGGACGAGCTGCTGCTGCTATTGATTCACTCACACCCTTACCCTCCCACCCCCTGCTTCCCCCACCCTTCTTCACTCGCTTCCAACCAATCAGAGCCTTCACCTGCGATTCCAGGAGCGTGACGTGGCGCTACACCCAGCCTATCAGGACGAGCTGCTGCTCCTATTCGCGGGCGACATGCCACGTGTCCCGCAGCTATTCGTCCGCGGGCGGCACGTGGGCGGCACAGAGGCGGTGCTACAGTTGTACGAGGAGGGGGCGCTAGACGCCCTGGTCGTCTGGCTCAAGGCGGCGGGCGGCGGCGCGGCTGTAGCGGCCAGCGGTCGGCGTGTTGCTGCTGCTGGTGGTCCTTCTGCTGGTCCTGGTGGGAGTGTGTGTAGGAGTTGTGGGGATGTGCGATTTGTTCCGTGCAGCCATTGCCATGGGAGCAGGAAGGTAGCTTCTGGGGGTGGTGGTGCTGGTAGTGGTGGGGGTAGATTTATCGAGTGTGATGTGTGTAACGAGAATGGGTTGGTGTTGTGTCCTAGTTGTAACGGTGTGGCCAGATGAGTGTAGCTATCTTGTCATATTACAATCCATTAGAAATAACATTGCAGTTCGTGCGCTTTTTTCATTGCAATCTGAACTGTACATGTGTATAGACAAGGGTGTCACATCACACCTGCTACTAAGATTCGCACACATGCAAAAGAACACTTCATATCAAGTGCGTATTGCGAGAAACAGTAATGCTTGGAAATTTGTTGACGATTACCACCAGTCACGTTGTAACGATATTTACAAGAGATGGAACCAGGTCCAGCTAGTAATGAAACACATTGTACCGTTGATGATTCTCGTACCACTCCCCTCTGCTGCCCCTCCCTCCCCTTGCACCAATTCCCCCTCCTCCTTCCCTTCTCTCCCCTCGCACCAATTTTCTTGCGCCACCTCAGTCACACGCCTTGTTCCCTTAGCACTCGCCCCTCCCTGCCTGCCTGCCTGCCTGCCTGCTTGCCTGACTGTGCGACTGCTTCACCACCCACTCTTCAAACAGCTAGCAGGCCGCTTGGAAACATCGAGAACGCGAGGACCTAGCAGGGCATTTTTGAGAATTCTCAAGAGTACCCTGCAATGCGAGGACCCAGGGTATGTCTGCTCACAGCCACACGCCTTGCTCTCTGTCTATCAGCCTTGTCCCACCCGTGCCTGCCTGAGCGTCTGCCTTGCTCTCTGTCTATCTGCCTTGGCCTTGCCCCACCCGTGCCTGCTTGAGCGTCTGCTTCACCACCCACTCCTCAAATGGCGTGCCCAGGTTCCACCAGCTAGCAGTGCGCTTTGAGGCATCAAGAACACGGGGGCCAGGCGCGTGGGCTTGACCCAGGGCGCTGTGGTGCAGGCCGTATGCGAGGTAAACGAGTCCTCCTATAGCGAGCCATGAGGAGGAGTACAGCCACGTGGTGGCGCTGGGAGGGGGGGAAGAGAAGAGGGGGTTGGGGAAGGATAGGGGGAGGGGAATGGGAGGAAGAGAAGAGGGGGTTGGGGAAGGATAGGGGGAGGGGAATGGGAGGAAGAGAAGAGGGGGTTGGGGAAGGATAGGGGGAGGGGAATGGGAGGAAGAGAAGAGGGGGTTGGGGAAGGATAGGGGGAGGGGAATGGGAGGAAGAGAAGAGGGGGTTGGGGAAGGATAGGGGGAGGGGAATGGGAGGAAGAGAAGAGGGGGTTGGGGAAGGATAGGGGGAGGGGAATGGGAGGAAGAGAAGAGGGGGTTGGGGAAGGATAGGGGGAGGGGAATGGGAGGAAGAGAAGAGGGGGTTGGGGAAGGATAGGGGGAGGGGAATGGGAGGAAGAGAAGAGGGGGTTGGGGAAGGATAGGGGGAGGGGAATGGGAGGAAGAGAGAGGGGGTTGGGGAAGGATAGGGGGAGGGGAATGGGAGGAAGAGAAGAGGGGGTTGGGGAAGGATAGGGGAGGGGAATGGGAGGAAGAGAAGAGGGGGGTTGGGGAAGGATAGGGGGAGGGGAATGGGAGGAAGAGAAGAGGGGGTTGGATGCTGTGGTGAATGCTGTGGTGAATGCTGTGGTGAATGCTGTGGTGAATGCTGTGGTGAATGCTGTGGTGAATGCTGTGGTGAATGCTGTGGTGAATGCTGTGGTGAATGCTGTGGTGAATGCTGTGGTGAATGCTGTGGTGAATGCTGTGGTGAATGCTGTGGTGAATGCTGTGGTGAATGCTGTGGTGAATGCTGTGGTGAATGCTGTATGCAAGGTAAACGTGGTGGTGCAGGGAGAGGGGAGGAAGGGCTGAGGGCTTGATCCAGGGCTCTGTGGTGCAGGCCGTATGCGAGGCAAATAAGTCCTCCTATAGCGAGCCAGGAGGAGGAATACAGCCATGTGGTGGCGCTGGGGGTGATTGGGGAGAGAGGGAGGGAGGGGAATGGGAGGACGGAAAGAGGCCAGGCACGTGGGCTTGGTTGCTCCTGGGATCTGTGGTGCAGGCTGTAGGCTGAGGGGAAACACAGAGACGGAACAAGGAGTTACTCTGGGCTTGATCCAGAGCGCTGTGGCGCAGGCCGTATGCGAGGTAAACGAGTGCTCCTATAGCGAGCCATGAAGAGGAATGCAGCCACGTTGACAATGGAAGAAAGGCATTGACTCTGCTTGACTTGACTCGTACTCACCCCAGGTTGGCCATGAGATACACGTTGACAAGGACGCTGGCTGGCAAGGGGCAGCCACGGCACCCAGGGAGAAAGGCGTTGACTCTGGCTGACTTGCTGTGAAGGAAGCACCCAACAGCGATGGAGAAGGGCGTTGACTCTGGTTGACTCGGTTTGACCTGGTTGACTCGTACTCACCCAAGGTTGGCCATGAGATAAACGTTGACAAGAATGCTGGCAAGGGGAAGCCACGGCACCCAGGGGCAGTGGAAACCTGGAGAGGGGAAGTAAACGATGCAAGAGTGGGGAAGTAAACGATGCAAGAGTGGGGAAGTAAACGATGCAAGAGTGGGGAAGTAAACGATGCAAGAGTGGGGAAGTAAACGATGCAAGAGTGGGGAAGTAAACGATGCAAGAGTGGGGAAGTAAACGATGCAAGAGTGGGGAAGTAAACGATGCAAGAGTGGGGAAGTAAACGATGCAAGAGAGGGGAAGTTCACGATGCAAGAGTGGGGAAGTAAACGATGCAAGAGTGGGGAAGTAAACGATGCAAGAGTGGGGAAGTAAACGATGCAAGAGTGGGGAAGTAAACGATGCAAGAGTGGGGAAGTAAACGATGCAAGAGTGGGGAAGTAAACGATGCAAGAGTGGGGAAGTAAACGATGCAAGAGTGGGGAAGTAAACGATGCAAGAGTGGGGAAGTAAACGATGCAAGAGTGGGGAAGTAAACGATGCAAGAGTGGGGAAGTAAACGATGCAAGAGTGGGGAAGTAAACGATGCAAGAGTGGGGAAGTAAACGATGCAAGAGTGGGGAAGTAAACGATGCAAGAGTGGGGAAGTAAACGATGCAAGAGTGGGGAAGTAAACGATGCAAGAGTGGGGAAGTAAACGATGCAAGAGTGGGGAAGTAAACGATGCAAGAGTGGGGAAGTAAACGATGCAAGAGTGGGGAAGTAAACGATGCAAGAGTGGGGAAGTAAACGATGCAAGAGTGGGGAAGTAAACGATGCAAGAGTGGGGAAGTAAACGATGCAAGAGTGGGGAAGTAAACGATGCAAGAGTGGGGAAGTAAACGATGCAAGAGTGGGGAAGTAAACGATGCAAGAGTGGGGAAGTAAACGATGCAAGAGTGGGGAAGTAAACGATGCAAGAGTGGGGAAGTAAACGATGCAAGAGTGGGGAAGTAAACGATGCAAGAGTGGGGAAGTAAACGATGCAAGAGTGGGGAAGTAAACGATGCAAGAGTGGGGAAGTAAACGATGCAAGAGTGGGGAAGTAAACGATGCAAGAGTGGGGAAGTAAACGATGCAAGAGTGGGGAAGTAAACGATGCAAGAGTGGGGAAGTAAACGATGCAAGAGTGGGGAAGTAAACGATGCAAGAGTGGGGAAGTAAACGATGCAAGAGTGGGGAAGTAAACGATGCAAGAGTGGGGAAGTAAACGATGCAAGAGTGGGGAAGTAAACGATGCAAGAGTGGGGAAGTAAACGATGCAAGAGTGGGGAAGTAAACGATGCAAGAGTGGGGAAGTAAACGATGCAAGAGTGGGGAAGTAAACGATGCAAGAGTGGGGAAGTAAACGATGCAAGAGTGGGGAAGTAAACGATGCAAGAGTGGGGAAGTAAACGATGCAAGAGTGGGGAAGTAAACGATGCAAGAGTGGGGAAGTAAACGATGCAAGAGTGGGGAAGTAAACGATGCAAGAGTGGGGAAGTAAACGATGCAAGAGTGGGGAAGTAAACGATGCAAGAGTGGGGAAGTAAACGATGCAAGAGTGGGGAAGTAAACGATGCAAGAGTGGGGAAGTAAACGATGCAAGAGTGGGGAAGTAAACGATGCAAGAGTGGGGAAGTAAACGATGCAAGAGTGGGGAAGTAAACGATGCAAGAGTGGGGAAGTAAACGATGCAAGAGTGGGGAAGTAAACGATGCAAGAGTGGGGAAGTAAACGATGCAAGAGTGGGGAAGTAAACGATGCAAGAGTGGGGAAGTAAACGATGCAAGAGTGGGGAAGTAAACGATGCAAGAGTGGGGAAGTAAACGATGCAAGAGTGGGGAAGTAAACGATGCAAGAGTGGGGAAGTAAACGATGCAAGAGTGGGGAAGTAAACGATGCAAGAGTGGGGAAGTAAACGATGCAAGAGTGGGGAAGTAAACGATGCAAGAGTGGGGAAGTAAACGATGCAAGAGTGGGGAAGTAAACGATGCAAGAGTGGGGAAGTAAACGATGCAAGAGTGGGGAAGTAAACGATGCAAGAGTGGGGAAGTAAACGATGCAAGAGTGGGGAAGTAAACGATGCAAGAGTGGGGAAGTAAACGATGCAAGAGTGGGGAAGTAAACGATGCAAGAGTGGGGAAGTAAACGATGCAAGAGTGGGGAAGTAAACGATGCAAGAGTGGGGAAGTAAACGATGCAAGAGTGGGGAAGTAAACGATGCAAGAGTGGGGAAGTAAACGATGCAAGAGTGGGGAAGTAAACGATGCAAGAGTGGGGAAGTAAACGATGCAAGAGTGGGGAAGTAAACGATGCAAGAGTGGGGAAGTAAACGATGCAAGAGTGGGGAAGTAAACGATGCAAGAGTGGGGAAGTAAACGATGCAAGAGTGGGGAAGTAAACGATGCAAGAGTGGGGAAGTAAACGATGCAAGAGTGGGGAAGTAAACGATGCAAGAGTGGGGAAGTAAACGATGCAAGAGTGGGGAAGTAAACGATGCAAGAGTGGGGAAGTAAACGATGCAAGAGTGGGGAAGTAAACGATGCAAGAGTGGGGAAGTAAACGATGCAAGAGTGGGGAAGTAAACGATGCAAGAGTGGGGAAGTAAACGATGCAAGAGTGGGGAAGTAAACGATGCAAGAGTGGGGAAGTAAACGATGCAAGAGTGGGGAAGTAAACGATGCAAGAGTGGGGAAGTAAACGATGCAAGAGTGGGGAAGTAAACGATGCAAGAGTGGGGAAGTAAACGATGCAAGAGTGGGGAAGTAAACGATGCAAGAGTGGGGAAGTAAACGATGCAAGAGTGGGGAAGTAAACGATGCAAGAGTGGGGAAGTAAACGATGCAAGAGTGGGGAAGTAAACGATGCAAGAGTGGGGAAGTAAACGATGCAAGAGTGGGGAAGTAAACGATGCAAGAGTGGGGAAGTAAACGATGCAAGAGTGGGGAAGTAAACGATGCAAGAGTGGGGAAGTAAACGATGCAAGAGTGGGGAAGTAAACGATGCAAGAGTGGGGAAGTAAACGATGCAAGAGTGGGGAAGTAAACGATGCAAGAGTGGGGAAGTAAACGATGCAAGAGTGGGGAAGTAAACGATGCAAGAGTGGGGAAGTAAACGATGCAAGAGTGGGGAAGTAAACGATGCAAGAGTGGGGAAGTAAACGATGCAAGAGTGGGGAAGTAAACGATGCAAGAGTGGGGAAGTAAACGATGCAAGAGTGGGGAAGTAAACGATGCAAGAGTGGGGAAGTAAACGATGCAAGAGTGGGGAAGTAAACGATGCAAGAGTGGGGAAGTAAACGATGCAAGAGTGGGGAAGTAAACGATGCAAGAGTGGGGAAGTAAACGATGCAAGAGTGGGGAAGTAAACGATGCAAGAGTGGGGAAGTAAACGATGCAAGAGTGGGGAAGTAAACGATGCAAGAGTGGGGAAGTAAACGATGCAAGAGTGGGGAAGTAAACGATGCAAGAGTGGGGAAGTAAACGATGCAAGAGTGGGGAAGTAAACGATGCAAGAGTGGGGAAGTAAACGATGCAAGAGTGGGGAAGTAAACGATGCAAGAGTGGGGAAGTAAACGATGCAAGAGTGGGGAAGTAAACGATGCAAGAGTGGGGAAGTAAACGATGCAAGAGTGGGGAAGTAAACGATGCAAGAGTGGGGAAGTAAACGATGCAAGAGTGGGGAAGTAAACGATGCAAGAGTGGGGAAGTAAACGATGCAAGAGTGGGGAAGTAAACGATGCAAGAGTGGGGAAGTAAACGATGCAAGAGTGGGGAAGTAAACGATGCAAGAGTGGGGAAGTAAACGATGCAAGAGTGGGGAAGTAAACGATGCAAGAGTGGGGAAGTAAACGATGCAAGAGTGGGGAAGTAAACGATGCAAGAGTGGGGAAGTAAACGATGCAAGAGTGGGGAAGTAAACGATGCAAGAGTGGGGAAGTAAACGATGCAAGAGTGGGGAAGTAAACGATGCAAGAGTGGGGAAGTAAACGATGCAAGAGTGGGGAAGTAAACGATGCAAGAGTGGGGAAGTAAACGATGCAAGAGTGGGGAAGTAAACGATGCAAGAGTGGGGAAGTAAACGATGCAAGAGTGGGGAAGTAAACGATGCAAGAGTGGGGAAGTAAACGATGCAAGAGTGGGGAAGTAAACGATGCAAGAGTGGGGAAGTAAACGATGCAAGAGTGGGGAAGTAAACGATGCAAGAGTGGGGAAGTAAACGATGCAAGAGTGGGGAAGTAAACGATGCAAGAGTGGGGAAGTAAACGATGCAAGAGTGGGGAAGTAAACGATGCAAGAGTGGGGAAGTAAACGATGCAAGAGTGGGGAAGTAAACGATGCAAGAGTGGGGAAGTAAACGATGCAAGAGTGGGGAAGTAAACGATGCAAGAGTGGGGAAGTAAACGATGCAAGAGTGGGGAAGTAAACGATGCAAGAGTGGGGAAGTAAACGATGCAAGAGTGGGGAAGTAAACGATGCAAGAGTGGGGAAGTAAACGATGCAAGAGTGGGGAAGTAAACGATGCAAGAGTGGGGAAGTAAACGATGCAAGAGTGGGGAAGTAAACGATGCAAGAGTGGGGAAGTAAACGATGCAAGAGTGGGGAAGTAAACGATGCAAGAGTGGGGAAGTAAACGATGCAAGAGTGGGGAAGTAAACGATGCAAGAGTGGGGAAGTAAACGATGCAAGAGTGGGGAAGTAAACGATGCAAGAGTGGGGAAGTAAACGATGCAAGAGTGGGGAAGTAAACGATGCAAGAGTGGGGAAGTAAACGATGCAAGAGTGGGGAAGTAAACGATGCAAGAGTGGGGAAGTAAACGATGCAAGAGTGGGGAAGTAAACGATGCAAGAGTGGGGAAGTAAACGATGCAAGAGTGGGGAAGTAAACGATGCAAGAGTGGGGAAGTAAACGATGCAAGAGTGGGGAAGTAAACGATGCAAGAGTGGGGAAGTAAACGATGCAAGAGTGGGGAAGTAAACGATGCAAGAGTGGGGAAGTAAACGATGCAAGAGTGGGGAAGTAAACGATGCAAGAGTGGGGAAGTAAACGATGCAAGAGTGG